TTACATTTGTCTCAGTGGACTTCACAGTTTGTACAGAATATCAGTATGACAATACGACACCCTCTGTCCTTAGACCCTCACATCGTACAAGGAAAAACTTCCAGAGAAAACCCACAGTTTAAAGGGGTACAGATACTTGTTTAACACAGAACATGGGAAAGACCTCCATTCAGAGAGGGCAAAAGTACACACATCCTTTACTCAAGTAGAAGTACAGATACTCGTGTTTAAAAATAATCAGGTGAAAGTAGAAGTACTGACTAAACTTCTTTACTCAAGTAAAAGTAAAGAGGCTTTGAAATGTATAAGCAAAAAGTACCCATAACTAGCAGCTGTTTTAAAGAGTAACTGATACCAGAAACATGTACTTAATTACAGTAACAAAGTATTTGTATTCCACTACTTCCCACCTCTGCCTCCATGACAGAACACCCACTTCTAAGATATCCTACTGGAAGCCCTTGATGTGGTTCATTTCTCAGACTCCTCACATTTTGCTGGTGGCAGAAGGCAGCGGCTCTCAGGATCTGGAACAGGATCTGCCGGCTCGTGTTCAGGTCCAGTCCGGTCGGGTTCTGCTCCAGATCGTCCAGAAGCGTTCGCTCCACAAACTCGAACACCAGGTACCAGCGGCGGCGGCGCTTCCACACCTCCAGGAGGTTCACCAGGTTGTCGTGGCGTAGTTGCTTCAAGGTTTAAAAGATGACAGCGTAAAAGAAAACATTACAATTCATATTTTACTCTGTGCCAATTGGCCTACAGTCTGAGTTACACTAGCACCTACCCATCTATCTATCTACCCATCTATCTATCCATCCATCCATCCATCCATCCATCCATCCATCTATCTATCTATCTATCTATCTATCTATCTATCCATCTATCTAATCTATCTATCTATCATCTATCTATCTATCTATCTATCTATCCATTCATCTATCTATCTATCTATCTATCTATCCATCCATCTATCTATCTATCCATCCATCCATCTATCTACCTATCCATCTATCCCTCTATCTATCTATCTATCTATCTATCTATCTATCTATCCATCCATCCATCCATCCATCTATCTATCTATCTCTCATCAATCTCTCTATCCATCTATCCATCCATCCATCTCTCTATCTATCTATCTATCTATCCATCTATCTATCTATCTATCTATCTATCTATCTATCAATCTCTCCATCTATCTATCCATCTATCTATCTATCTATCCATCCATCTCTCTATCTATCTATCTATCTATCCATCAATCTCTCCATCTATCTATCCATCTCTCTATCTCTCTATCTATCCATCTATCCATCTATCTATCTATCTCTCTATCTATCCATCCATCCATCCATCTCTCTCTATCTATCCATCCATCCATCCATCTCTCTCTATCCATCCATCCATCCATCTCTCTATCCATCTATCTATCTATTTAGATGTGTTTTTGTGCAACATTACTTTAAAATAACTGATGAATGCTTCGTCCAAAACGCCTGACTAGAAAGTATTGTTGCCTGATGAAACGTTTTCCAGAAACCAAGCATCTATTTTCCTGAAATAAGATGAAGAAGAGTCTCCTGTTTCTAGAATACTAAAGACTAAGACTGCAGAACAAATCTAGACGATGCTTCTCGTCTTCCAACGATTCCTCCGAGTTATATTTAAATGTGTTTGTCTTGTGATTGACAGGTTGCTTTTGTGTTTTACTACACTCAGGTTTCATTCTGAATGCTGGTGTTTGATTGGCTGGTGGATTGAATGACAGGTTGGCTAATGGATTGATTGACAGGTGGTTTGATTGAAATGTTTACCCTCAGCAGCTTGATCTCCCTCAGGGCGATCTTCTTCACCGTCTTGTCGTCGTCCGAGTCCACAAACTTCTTAATGGCGACGAGGCGTCCGGATTCCCGATGACGACATTTCAGGACGGTGCCGTAACTTCCCTCTCCGACCAGACCCAGAGACTCGTAACGCTCCATAACTCTGAGAAATATAGAAAATGTACATTTTACTCACTTTTGTTTTTACTATAAGTTGTACACAGTATTCAAGATATGGCTATGACCCAAGCAAACACATCGTTATTCAAGAAAACGGTATTTAAAAACACTTTAAGTAATAAAACAAAAATACATTTAAGTAAAAGTACCAAAATGTTTAAGAGAAACAAAATACACACACTTACAAATAAATAAAAAGGACAATGAATAAACAGTCATGGTATTAGGAAAGGAAAATAAGAAATGTATCCGTCACATATTGTATAATATTTCATATAAAAACTCCAAATAAAGGTCTACTGGTGAAGGTAATAGATAGATCATATATATATATATACATATGTGACAAATAAAAGTCATACATTCAAACATACATAGTTGACATTTATATACTTATACTACTTTATTACATTTGTATTACTAAAGCTAAAGTAACATTTCAAGGCAGTATTTTGACTGTCGTGTAAGTACTCTTAATGTAAGTAAACTATAGAAATACTTCCTCCAAAATTAAACGCATAATAGAATAAATAGATGGTAGGAAATTGATTTGACACACACATAAACAAACCAGTAAAACACACTCACCTTTTTACAGGTGAATTCCTCCGCTCCCGTTTCCAACGTAAACACTCGAGTAACGTTGTTGTTCTCCGGTGTGTGTGTGTGTGTGCGTGCGTGCGTCGTGTGTGTGTGTGTGTGTTTCGTATCACCGTCAATCTAGAAATCGACACTGTGGCTGTGTGTGTGTGCGTGTGTGTATGTGTGCCTGTGTGTGTGTGTCTCCAAGGTAACGCCCCCCGCCATGTGTTCTCTTTGTTTGCGCATGCTCAGTGCAGCACAAATAATGACATTTGAATACTTTACACACACATTTAAAAACTGTATGAACAATACAAACCCCTGTAAATAAACCAAAACACACTAACATGAGAGGTAAAGATGCCATAGGTGTGATATTTTACACTTTTCTTATGAATTAAATTTATTTGGATGTTGTCTCTCAGACTAATAAAGGATCCAAATTGGATAACCAAGCTGTGTCAAAACAAACCTCCTTCAAAATCTATGTTTAAGGGTCTATAATTCAGGTGTATAATTAAAAAGCAAATACATATGCATGTCAGACCTCACTGTGTGAAAGCTAAGTTACTTTGTAGGTGGGCATCTTCCCAAAATCTGACCTATTTATGTTTATTTTACAATTACAAACCGTCCTTCACAGTCACGAACGTGTCATATTCTGCCTAACAAACGACTTTATATCCAACACAAAGCTCTCTACCGCCCCCTGCTGTCTTTATCAGAAACAGGTTTTAATGTAAAAATATTTATTTACAATAAACAAAAACATAATCTGTGTACATTCAGAAGAATAGTTTGATAATAATAATCAGCGATATATACAATTAAAGTGTGGATTATTCCGTATTTTCTGCCAGTTTCCTAATGTCCTCCAGGAGCTCGGAGAAGGACGGGCGACCCTGAGGCTTCTACTCCCACCGAGAACACCACCGAAGAAGAGAGAATTAAAGCAGAAGAAGAGATGAAAAACAATCCTTTAAACCCCAAAAAACATCTTAAATTGTGGCAAACAGTAAGTGACAAGAAACTGTTGTTGGTTGCATTTGTAAATTAACAATGAATAATAATAACAGAGTGAAGGGAGGGGAATCATATTCAGTGAAGAAACTCAAGATCTCTGAGTACAATTTCCCCCAAAAAGTCATACAAAATCCTGTCTCTGTGCGTGTGTGTGTGCGTGTGTGTGTGTGTGTGTGTGTGTGTGTGTGTGTGTGTGTGTGTGTGTGTGTGTGTGTGTGTACCTCGTGCCAGCAGCGGTACATGATGCTGTAAACTGCTTGTGTTGCTCTGTGAGGTCGGTACAGTCTTCCTCCTCTCGTGATCTCCATGACAACCTCCACGTTAGACCGGCACTCAAAGGGAGTCGCCCCCTCTGAGTAGATCTCCCACATCACCACACCTACACACCCACACACACACACACACACACACACACACACACACACACACACACACACATTCGTTATCCTGCTTTATATTTTGTTACTGTACATTTGAACATGTATATTTTCTACTTTTTTAATGCTATTTTATTTGTATTGAGATGTTTA